AAGTGCCAAAGTGAGTGTTTTGTTGGATATTATGGCTCACAATGTAAATACAGATGTAGCCAAGGATGCCTAAACAATACGTGTACATTAAACACACAAAGTGGAGTCAGCGAGTGCTCTCATGGATGTCAGTTAGGGTTGTTTGGTCGAAGCTGTAGGGTACCCTGTATTACTTCTTCATTTGGATGTAAGAGATGTGCATCTAGATGCGTTGGATCTTACTGTATGCAAAATGACAGCTGCTGGGGAAACTGTGTCGATTCTTACTTTGGTTCCCAGTGTAAATCGTGCTCTAACCAATGTGAACTCTGCAACTACACGACAGCAGAATGCCAAAGGTGTGCGACCGGTTACACTGGAGGAAAGTGTGAGCATGTGTGTCACAACTGTTCTGGACATTGTACAACGGCACAATGTACCACATGTTTAACAGGGTATTATGGGCAACTCTGTGGTGACACATGTAGTATAAACTGTGATGTGTATTCCAATTCTACGAGTAGTCCTCCCATACAATGTGACAAAACGTCGGGGGAGTGTAAATATGGATGTAAACGCGGATGGTACGGAGAGAAGTGTAATGAAACATGCAGTAGAGGATGTTATCACAATGAATGTGACCAGAAGGGCGAGTGTAAACATGGCTGTGTACTGGACTATTATGGCCCGGGGTGCATCCAGTGTCACCCAGGATGTCATGGAACGTGCGACACCCACAGCGGACACTGTGCTGATCGATGCAAGAAGGGATACTACGGTTGGAACTGTAGCTTACACTGTGGATCATGTGTGACGAGTGTGTGTGAACAACAGACTGGATTGTGTGTGGTTGGATGTAATTCCACCTATGACAATGACTGTGAAAAACTGTGCAAGGAGAACTGTTCTAGGTCTGACATATGCCAGACATCTAAGTGGTGCAGTGATACAATAACTTCCTCGACAACAGAATCAGATCTTGATAAAAAAGGTAAGTATATTTTATGAGACTGTTCCAATATCAAATCTTGGAATGACATTTAGATATTACTGTGAAAATGGACGTGTTATGCAAACGTATATCCCACATGTAGTTGTAATAATTATTATTCAAATATATATTAGTCGCCATAATGTGATGCCTTTGGTCTTTAAACTGTGTTTATTTGTTCCGATTTCCATGACAAGAAATCGGATTTAGTCTTAAATGAGGGTAGGGTTTATTTTCGGAGAACAACTCAAATATTTCTTGGTCAAACTTTTTACAGTTATCAGTCAAGCCATACACTGACACTAGGGTTTGATGATAACCCCTGTTCCCAGTGACACTACCTTACAGAGACGACAGCATGTACTGTTCAACCAGCAGCACATCAGTTTATGCGTCAGTGTCATTGTCTTTGTAAAAGCCACTCCCCGGCGTTTTTTGATGGATGGACAGAATATTTGATGTTTGTTTTATTCAACCTGCCAGGTATTTGATACATGCAACCTTAGAAATTGCCAAACTACCCAATAGTTAAGGTATCATAAAGGACCAGTGGAAATTTGCCATTTTTAAGGGCTTTGCTCTATGTTATCATCATAAGGACCAGTGGACTAAAACTGTTAGTTTCTACCGCTCACACGTAACTAGAACGGATATGACAAAGATGGTAAGTAAAGGTAAGAGACGCTAGCTGATACATTCCTAAACTCAGCTGGACGGTCCTGTAATTATGTAATGGGGATAACATTTCATGTCAAGACTCTAATAAAATCAATAAAGGACAACACAGACACCAATCAAATCGCCTTACATGTACAGTCGAACCTCGTTGCGTCAAACTCGAGGGGACCTGGACGGAAGTTCGAGTTATCCAGGATTTGAGACATCACGGGAAGTTTTTGCTTAACGTGGATACTTGGGACTTCCAAATGATTTTGAAACAATCGGGAATTCGGCATATCCAAGTTCGACATGCTGATTTTAACTGAATTACGTGTACAGTTCGGTTTTTAACCATTATCTGATAGACAACAGATAATGCCTAGATATGTTTCTGTTCTTTAGTATGGTAATTGCCCCTGTACCTGTACTCGAATAGTCGAAACGAAGCGTGTTCACCAGGTGGGGAAAACGTCTTTCAGAATGCATGTGCGGAGCAAGTAAATACTTTCTCTTTCGACATAATGGAGGATGTGATTAACTATATGTGTAGACATTCATCCTGAACGCAGATATAGGTGTAAACAAAATATGTATTGCCCTGGCCATGGAGGATTATATGTCCCAATGCGATACAAATGTAATTGAAAGTGTGGAAACATGATTCATTGTATTATTCATAAGTATTTTTATCTTGCATTCAGTGTCTGTTGAGTCTAACTACATATTGGACGTGGGAATCATCCTGGCTGTTGTGCTGCTGATTGTTATTATCCTATTGCTGTTGCTCCTTCTGCGTAAAGCACCACAGTTTTGTCCACGGTAGGTATGCTTAGACTTTAGAGAGACAATAACCAATCGATATCGTTCGTTACAGTTGTGGGATAACGTAGGGGAAACAAGAAAGAAGATTGTGTTTCGAAACAAGTGAGTGAGTGAGTATGGTTTTACGCTTATAGCAATATTCCAGCAATATCACGGCGGGGGACACCTGAAATGGAGTTCACACATTGTACCCATGTCGGGAATCGAATCCGGGTCTTCGGCCTAACGAACGAACGCTTTTACCACTAGGCTACCCGACCGCCCCGTTTAGATACAATAGGAATGTCCAAAAGAAAGACAAGTATGTACATTTATGAGTTACCTCAATATCTTTGTGTGACATATACATATTTGCACTGCCTTAAAGATATGTTGATTTACGATAATGGACAAACACTCTTTACCGTCCATCTCCAACTTAAATCTAATGCAAGATTTCTTTCAATAAAATAATATGAACCGAATTTTAAGTAACACAGATTTTCTTTAGTGGCTTTACAATGGACACTCAAATCAATAATGATATGAGTTTTCCACATGGATTATCACATTGACATATTGGATCATATTTTATCTCTGTTCTGTAGAAAATAATAAGTCAATTGGCTTTATATGTATCTTAATCGATTATGATAAATATTCCAACTTTCTCACATCATAGGAAAAAATATGAAGGTGCAACACATTGCTCTTTCCCTGTGTATGACATAAACTGGGATATACATGTACACTTTCTTCCTGCTACAGGAATTGTTCCATGACCTTACAGTTGATGAAATAAAAGAACATGTTGAGTACTTTAGTGTAGTAGTTAGAATCACAAGATTGTCTGCATTTCTTTAATAATATAATACATTTGAACTTATAGTGGTAGTTATAGTGTCTTTAAAATAAGCCGGGGTAATATTACTTTGTATTTCGTAGAACAAACATAACTTTTACTTCATCCTTCGTTCTATTAACATTTCCCATCGTACTTCATAATACAGATGTTTGTGTTTGGGAGCCGAGAAAGTATTTTGGCAGCTTCTTGTTGAAGAGTTTCTAATTGACTTGATAATGATACATTACACCCATTTTCTATGTCAGACCTATATTTGTTTCTAGAAGATTGTCCAACGGAAACGATCCAGAACACGCTGTGGTTGTTGAGGAAATGCGTCATATTGATACACGATATGAACCCCTGCATAGGTACTGGGAAATAAACTATAGTGACATGCACAGAAACATGGCTGCGTCCTATGATGATACCCAATCCCCTGTACATCTGTGTGAAGGTACAGATAACGTATCTGACGTAAATGAAAGGGACACTTCAGATGTGGAACCTGACATCGATGGACCTCGAGACGACAGTGAGAAAGAATCTCGAGCAGATGTCATTTATGAACGATATTTGTCCCCTTGTATGCCTGAACCGCTTTCGTAATATGAGAGTGCATTAAAGCTAAATGTTGTACATATGCACAGGGATATATAAACCAGTTCCATTTTTCTCAACTAAGCAGCCAGCTATAGATGTGGTTCAGTAGTTTTTGGAAATCACCTGCTTACAATCTCAAGACGTCCCAACACACGATGATAGTTTAAGAGATAGCTGAGAATTATGTTCTGATGCATACACAATTATATAAGCTTAAAATGTAATGTATCATATAGCCTTTTTCATAGCATAGCTTCGTCAAATGTCTGCAAATGTAAATACTAATGTCATGGTTGCCAAAGAACTATTGTCAGCGAATGTTGCTCCAATGACTCCAATGTCACTCCTACTTACTGCTCAACCCATGCTTGTCGTAAAAGACGACTATGCTTTTCGTAAAAAGCGACTAACGGGATCGGGTGTTCAGGCTATCAGAGTTTCAACAAATGGCATCAGATGAGCGTTCATCCGGTCTTTCATTCTGTAATTATATAAAAGTCGAATGTTCTTTGTAACGCAGGCACCTGAATAAAGAACGTTCTCCAACCTATCAGAGTTCTGAGATTATTCCAGGAATATCCTCGAAGTCTTCTATATGTGGTCTTTGTGACGCTTGCAAAGATTTTCATCACACACAGTTGTGTAAGTCAACTTATTGACTCCAGGGGGCACGGGTGGCCCAGTCGTCTAAGGCGCCGCGATTCGCTGTGCAGAGTTGCGTCCCTTGGGCACGCCAGAAACCTATGATTGTGGGTTCGAATCCCGGTTCGCTCCGATTATGTTTCTAGGTTTGTCAGCACCATACCCGTGCTCGTGGGTTTCACCGAAATGGTAAACGTCTGAGACCTGCATCACTTATGGCTTTCCTCCCACATGAAGCTGACACGCAGCGATATAACTGGAATACTGTTAAACCAAACTCACTCACTCACTTATTGACTCCAGCATCTGATTGGGACAGTGTTAGAAACCGCTGTACTGCCCCCGTTTTAGTTATTTACTTGGCAAGGGATGATTGCAAAGGCTAGTAAATTTTCAAGTTTCCGCTCATGAACAACTTATTCGACGAAACAGATTCCACTAGGCGGAGAAGGCAAAATGTCGGAAACAATAATACACTACCTTCTTCTCGCGTCAAACGTGTACACCTCAAAGAACCTCTTCACACTCATGCACCATGCATTTGTGCACGTGGGGATTCCACACCCGTGTCTCCTGCAGATTACAAGCAAAGGAGTCACTGATGATACCAGGCGAAAAGCTAAACCATGGCCTTCCCTATTGTTAGCAACCACCCCTCACATTGTTTGCATGACAAAAGTAAGTGTTTGTTGCCTGACACCGCACAGCAGTACTTCCGTGGCATGTGAATTATAATTAACCAGAACAAACCTAACCAAACATGCATATGTACATTGATGACGTATTGTCGTCAACCATTAGATTGTATCTGCATTGGAACCCCACATTAAGGTTTAGATTTTAAAAAAATATATAAAGAACAAAATAATACTAATGATAATACTATGCTAAGACATACTATTTTCTTCGTATCAGTTTGTGAGCACGTATCGGGTCTGTTTCTGTGCATGTTCAATAATTATCAATTTTCTTATGCTTCTCGTGGTTAACAATGGCAATGTTAACGTATGTGTGGTTATTTATCCAAAGGGTTTTAAGCTGTATACATCTTTTTCCCGTTTATCATTGTGAAATCCTGCATGATTTTAACATGTAGCTAGATCAGCAATACCGGTAATGTACTACGATGTAACTGGGCTCAGAGTACAACTGCGTGACTATAGCAGCCGTATATCCGATACTACTTAGACGCGTGTCACACCTTTCCACGATAAGTAGGTTCCGACTTGTCATATTACTGGTTTATAAGACATATTTGACAACTACCGAACAACCATAATCGAACATAATCATGCACAGTTCGGTGACTTGTTCATTTGCTGTTACATAATTTAGATGAATATTTGCACTCCGGCCTCATAACAAAACGTACGTGAGCAGGTATGTTTTGAATAACATGGTTTGTTAAAAAGAAACTGATATTCCGAAAAACATTAAGGACTTACTACGTGTAAAATGCCAAATCTGTCAATCTTGTTATCTGTATAAATATACCGTATTCATTGTAATAGATTACAGTCAAAGATCATGCAGAGGAGATATCGTTGAACTCAAAATCGTCAGCTCTGTTACCCCCTATCGGCTTTCCTACTCCGGTGTTATCAGACGGACTAGTATAGGTAGCGCTACTAAGTGACTATATTGTCAATCCTTTAACATAACACACCTTGTCATGTGCCACTACTCTACTCTGCCATGACGTCACAACTACCGCGCCTGTAGACACTATGTCATAATATAGTGATGTTTACTGTGAACGTTACCCTTTCCGGGCAGATCCTTGGGGTATGTTTGTCTTTTTGTTTGTTGTTTAACCCCGCACTCAGCAATATTCCAGCTATATGACGGCAGCCTGTAAATAATCGAGTCTGCACCAGGCGATCCAGTGATTGACATCATGCGCATCTATCCACGCATCAACCAAGTCAGCGAGCCTGACCACCCGATCCCGTTAGTCGCCTCTTACGACAAGCATAGTTGCCTTTTACGGCGAGCACGGGTTGATGAAGGCCTATTCCACCCGGACCTTCACGGGCCCCTTGGGGTTATGAGTGCATTGTCTTTTATTGTTATAATTAAGGTATTCTGGTGTAAATAACTAAATACTGAAATTCATAGACACAACCTATATTACGTCACTCATCAATTACGATTGCGGGTGTTTGCGATTGTTTGTGATTTTGTCAGGTCAGCCAAAAGTGGAAACTCCTGTATTGGAGACGAGTATCACTGTCTATTTGTTTGCGAATACTTTGTAGATATAAGAAGGAAATTATTGCCATTATATTATCTAAAGAGGCCTTCAATGTTCAATATAATAAATCTATTTAAAAGTCTAAAAACCATTATATTAAAAAAATCTCTAGATGTTGCTGTCAAATAATCAATAAGTTTAATCTGCCGACATGTACTTGAATATAGATCTCTGATAACTACCTCATAATGCTATGCCGTGTAGCCTTGAGTGATTAAAGTTCAAATGAAATTTAGTAATGCCGAATGTATCTTCGACTCTTCTGACCCCAATTTAAACCACCTTACCACAAACTGAGCTTTTCGATGTTTCGCTGTGTCAAACGTATTCAGTCTGATCATCAAAGCCAGATATGAGATGGCAGTTTGCTAGATAAGGGGCACATGTTATGTTATATGTGAGTTAAGTGTAGGTGTTCTATTTTTGATAAACCGCATCCGTTGTCGTGTGGTAGAGCGTCTGCCCGGAGAGCGGAAGGTCGGAGTTCGATCCCCGTCCGCGTCATACCAAAATACGTTTAAAGATGGTACTTGGTGTTACAATGCCTGGCGCTCGGCATTAAAATAAGTGGCTAAACAAGCACTGGTCGGCTCGGAGTCAGTATACTGTATCTGAGTGGGGTATTCATGTTAAACTGCGGCATGGTGTCTCAATGGGCTAGCACTATAAAATCGGCATCAGTCCGGACTAGTACAAGCAGCCACACACACACGCACACGCACACACACACACACGCACGCACGCACGCACGCACGCACGCACGCACGCACACACACACACACACACGTCTGTCTAAGTGTCCGTCTAAAGGTAAACTAAGCATTTGAAAGAGAACCTACACATCAAAACTGTCAGAAATGCAACGGTGGCGAGTACACGAAAATGATGATACATATCGTCAGACATAAAAGAATATGTGAAGCGAGAAAAACTACAACATTTGAACGAACTACGCTTCAGAACAGTCCTTGTATTACAGTAGTCACTATATGGCTGAAATGTTGCCGATGTGACTTTAAATCTTAACTCACTCACCTTGTATTACAGCGATGTAAGTATAACAGGAGAGAAATCTATCTTATCATTACAAGACTTGAGATTTTATTAGCAATATGATGGTACGGTGATGTGTTTAGTCCACTCAGCAATATTTGATAGCGAAATTAATAGATGAGCAGTTTTTAGGTTTAAAAGAACTTTGTAGCAGGACAGGGTCATTGTTGGTGATGAATAAATCAGATAAGGGTGGATAGATCGAGTTGTAACAATATAAGATACTTTTAGCGATTCTCAATGTTTAGACTAGGCACGGTTAAAAGCAACTGAAATCTAACCTTTCTGTTCTGCCAAACAGCACTTCCACTCTACCTTCGTCAGGAATTTGAACCCTGTAATATGCATGAGGTGAATTACACTTCCCCGTTTAGACTAGGCATGTTAGAACTGGTATATTATAAAAAGAGAAACGAAATCACATCGTGTCATTGTTCACAAAAAAAATATACAACATCCATGGTTCACGACGTCATCTGAGTGAGTGAAGTTAGTTTTAAACACTATTTCATCTACATCACGTTGTGTCAGCTTCATGTTTGAGGAAAGCCCGAGGCGATGCACGTCATAGACGTTTACCACTTTGGTGACACACACCAGCACCTGTATGCTAACAAATCAGGAACTATAATCAGGGTGAATCTGTCATTCGCCCATATGTTTCTGGCGTGCCAGTGTCATCGACGTCATCTTAACAAAAGGCTAACTTTAGAGAAGTTTCTCCTCAATCTTAACATTTCATACGTTGTTTTTCATTTACCTTCTTCAAGTCATGTTGCGCAATTTTAGAATAACCTACTGGAAACTCGAAACTACGTATTACCTGTCCCTCGCAAATGAAAGGGGGCGGTCGGGTAGCCTAGTGGTTAAAGCGTTAGCTCGTCACGCCCAAGACCCGGGTTCGATTCCCGACATGGGTATAATGTGTGAAGCCCATTTCTGGTGTCCCCCGCCGTGATATTGTTGGAATATTGCTAAAAGCGGCGTAAAACCTCACTCATTCACTCGTAAATGAAAACTTTGGCTCTCGCCTTAGGCTAGGGACAGATTATACTTAAACACCTGCAGTCCATTAAATGTTCTCTAATTTGGATAGCATCTCTTGACGGATGACGAAACACGGTTAAAGCAACTGAAATCTAACCTTTCTGTTCTGCCAAACAGCACTTCCACTCTACCTTCGTCAGGAATGTGAACGCTGTAACATGCATGAGTTGAATTACACTTCCCCGTTTAGACTAGGGATGTTAGGACTGGAATGTTATAAAAAGTATAAATACATGGTGATACGCGTTTAACTTAAGGGATTGTTGAACTGCAGTTTATGACTCTAGAGGTACACGACAACACTATCAGCACAGCGACAATATATTACCCCATATGTGAGCCAAGATTTCGTTCCCAGGTAGTGTGTTTTGGAACTTCATATATCTTAAATTTAGCATAAGCATGTGAAACTTCCCCTAAGATATCGTGTTACCGTGTCAGTGTCAACACTGAAGAGTCTTATGGCAAAATTATTTCCCTAGAATTGTAAATAGTTATTACTTACAAAACTGTAATTGTAAACAAAATGAATGTGTTCATGTATATGTTTTTCCTTCATCCATCCAACTATGCACTGCGTCTAGTTATACCAAGGAAGTAATGTATTTAAGTTGTTTATAATAATTAAAATATGATTTGTCTTTAAAATCATAACACTCATTTCAGTTACAAAGATAGAGACTTTATCGTTGATCAGGTCAATTATGATCAGAACCTAGACATGTTTAGACTCAAATGCAATGTCCTTCTGAGATCATTCGTTTGGTATACAGTGAATATCAGGCTATAGTGATTCCTCTTCATGTTCAGGTGTGTTAAATTGGAATTTATTTGGACACGTACTGACACCTACGGGAATCATATCTATTGCATAAGAAATATAGTATTGTTAACTATTATGCTTTTGTAAAAACGTTTTCTGTGAAAACTAGGTAAATCATTACAAGTATTTGCAAACACAGAACCATCCCTTAACCAACGAAATGATTTCCATAATCATAAGAAATCTCTGCTAAAATGAGGTCATTGGTGGTTAGAGTAAATAAAAGCGGCTAAGTAAAACACATGAATAAAACATGCCCAAACTTTCAATCCAGAAGGTCCTATATATCTTGACATTCAAATCATAGTACTAAAGTAGACCTCACAATCGATAACGCAATTACTGATCAGTTGAAACTGAAAACGACACAAGGTCCCAGGCCTTTAGCTATTTTAACCAGGCCAATAAATACACCCCCATTCATCCAGCTACCTTCATAAGAACAGAAGAGGAGCTTCCGGTTTAATCTTAATTCACTTTCGGCTTTGGAAAACACTTCAAATGCAGTACGTCAGAGTCCCACGTCTTGCTGGTAGGACAGGACATCCTTACCCTTTTCGTGTCATCACTGATTTTGACTATCTATGTAGTCCATGAGCCATACCCCATTTTTTTATAAAGCGGTACCACCTAGGGTGGCAAAATGTCAGTACTGAATACATCTAGAATGTGTTTGTTATGATTATGAGTGACATATTTCTAGCAGGCCAACTTCCTACAATTTTTCATGTTTTTTTTCTGAAATTGCATCAAAAATCGTTCTGTACCACTACACAAAAGACAATGAATTCCACTTTTACAGACTTTTAATAGACTTGGTTACTTCTTGGCTTCAATTATAACCCATATGGGATGAGAAAGTCTCATTGATGTGGTATCTGCAGTGTATTGACAGGTGGTAAGTTTTTAGGCAGGGGTCACATTTCGTGACCTTTTGACCTCTGATGGCCTACATGACTACCTTATTACTATATTACATATACCAACGTGTAGATAATCAGGCTACCAACATTTTGAGAGGTCATTCGTCAGTAAATTGCTTGTAAAATCATGTGGTGATTACCACCACTAAGTGATGAGTCCCTGGTTGTTTTTAAAGTATTTTTTTTCATCTGTGGATATATTACTTTTAAAAAAGCGTACCCGAGGTGGTACCAATAACTGGTCTGGCGCATGGACTAATTCATATAATTTTCACCTCTAGTTGTCTTTTACACCCATGGAATCTGTTTCGGCAAATAATCAAGACTGATTATTCTCTGATGTTGACGTATTATATTTAAGAAAGCTACATGCAGTTCAGGTTTAATGGAATGGACCCTCAATTTCATGCTTCATAATAACTTGCAGAAACATATGCAGAGTGTATGCTCTAACAAATATGCCATTCAAGCACGGGTTGTTAATACGATAACGAAAAGCAGAATTAACTTGCGCCACTATGTTTATTTTCTTTTTTTTCTTTATCGCATTTGAATCGCATTTCGTTTGTATTCTTTTCGCGTAATTCGCATTTCGTTTCCACTGTAATCCTAGTTTGTATTTTTGTCTCCCATCTGAGTAAACTCCTATGATTTGGAGAGTCGGGTTTGTGATATATAATTGGCGCTGTGACTGAAAATCTTATTCTTTCAGTGCCTCAAACAATATTAAGATGCAATTTTTCACCCTGCAATCATTTGTCATTAACATAAGACATGTTTTATTGAAAACCTTGACTATTATATTCAATGTCACTTACACGTATTTCAATGACATTTTCAAGAGCATGGTATCTGTAATGGTCAGGCTCGTGCGTAAACCATCGAGACCTTTGGTTTTCGCCCACGTTTCCGAGTTTTTATAGCTCTTCAAGATATGATTATTTATCATTACATACACGTCTTGTGTGTAAAATTATGTATATTGTAGGCATAAGAACGATCAAATGTATCCGAGTAATATTTTACAGTCGTAGTTTAGCTCCAGTAATCGGCTCAAATAGTCCCGCGAACTGCTGGCGCTAACGTCATCAAAAGTTGTGTAGTTCATTCCGAGGTTGTTTCATGCTTTAAATTCACTAAAGTAATAATATGTTTTTCAAAATACTTACATAAACACTTTCCTCGACATGTTATTGGGTAGATTACATCCATCTAAATTACTGTCACATCTTATATTTGGTGATAGATGGTCTAAATGGTCTAAATGTTGGTGTCTTCTGCTACATGTATTTCCGGAAGTGACGTCACCGTGATAATAATCTCGTTCCAAATCAGTTGTAGAAATAACAGACTCAACGTAAGTTGTAGTTTTTCGGCCCCGCGAGTTTTTTAGAAAAATTATTATGATTCTATGGACGTACATAACGGGGTGTTTTTTTTATAATAATTACCTTGCAGCATTATTGACTCATCCTTTGCGTCTAGTAATTATTCTTTCAAGCAGATTAATTAAACAAAACTTAAAATTTGTAGAAATTGATCATCTAACTGTCAAAACTGATAAGGGTTAAATCAAAGTAGATCTACGTCTTGCAGCTAGTTTATTGATATATTGCAATGGTAACTGCCATAAATAACTACAAAAACAAGTAAAGATTTCCGTTATTTGTTATATATTTTTTTATTATCTCTTCTTTTACACTATCTCTTTGAACCTGACGGTTGCGATGGGGACATAAGAAATCCTGACCACGTCTCCCACCCCCAACCCGTTACAGTAACCCTGGTTGAATTCAGTGTAAGAACGAAAATATAGCATATGACACTCATGGTAAGGTGTCAATAACTATCATCATAAGATTATTATCATACATTGAAACCCATGAAGATCCGGGGTGGTATAGGTCTTCAGCAACCCATGCTTGCCCTAAAAGGCGAATATGCTTGTTGTAAGTGGCGACTAACGGGATCGGGGGGTCAGACTCACGGACTTGATTGATGCATGTCATTGTTTCTAATTGCGTCGATAGATGCGCATGTCAATCACTGGATGTCTGGTCCAGACTTGATTATTTAGAGACCGCCGTCATATAGCTGGAACATTGCTGAGTGCAGCGTTAAATAACAAACAAACAAACAAAAACATAATACTTTTCATATATCATACATTGGAATTCAAATCATATATCGACATCATGTACAAAACTTAAATCGGAGGTAGTAAAAAAAACATTTACTGAAAATGGCAAAACATCTCTGTGAACTCATACCTTGGTCACTAATGTTACTGCTCTGTGCTCTGGCCTGAGGATTACTTGTACTAAGCGCTGTTGACCTAGCTTCTCGGTGATAACAACACCTTGACCACCCCAGAGGATTCCAGGTAAGAATTCAAGCAACCTATGCATGTCGGAAATGGCGACTAAATGGATCGGAGGTAAGGTATTCCAATCGTATAGATCGATGCTTATGATGTCAATCACTGGATTGTCTGGTCCTGACACAATTATATACAGACCACCGTCATCTAGTTGGGATGTTGTTGAATGAGGTGTTAAACAACACATATCTGGAATATTGCTGAGTGCCACGTTAAACAACAAACACTACGTAACTGCGTTATTAAGGACATTCTACCTAAAATTATATCCTAGATAATTCTGACGAAACTCTGAAAAAATACCCATTGACGAAAATAGAAATAATGTATATGTAGTTTTTGCAAGTGATTAAAAAGACGGACAATTTATAATAGACAGACAGATTGTTTTAAATGGTATGATTCAGAGAGGAATATAATATGTTCTTTTATATCCACATTACAGGATTTACCTGCAGTTGTAGTGAAACAGTAGTGTATTCTATAAAGAAAAATAATTTGACGCGATTCGACCAGTGGCAACATGACGTCAATAATGACATACCATAACGTCATCTTCTACTCTGGCGTAATTACATGTCACGCAAACAGTTATATAACGTTACTGTGCTGTCTGATTTGGTAACACAGAGTACATGACCATCGTTCGTTGCTTTGACAATGCTATATTGCCATTTCACACTTTTGGACCGGCGCTGTGGTTTGGTGGAACGAACGTCTGCCAGGAGAGTGGAAGGTCAGTGGTACGACAAGCGGCCGCGCCATACCAAAAGACGTTAAGAGATAGTACACGTCGTTACCCCGGCATTAATGGGCTTACACAAGTACTACACTTAATGGAATCCTAAGATTTCCTCTTGGCTGATGATAGTAAATAACATTTCAAACTTGTGAGCAGAATCTGAATGCAGTGGGTCAATATTCATAATTTTAAGAGATTTTTGACTACATGTATATATTATTCATCTCAACTTGACCAAAAATTGGAATTCACCTATAAAATCTACAATTAATGAAATCTTAAG